CCAGCATAATATAAACCCTATTTAATTCCTTATATTAAATAGGGGAATTTGTCGGCCAATATATTGGTTTTCGCAGATCAAACGGATGTCATAACTTTCTCTAGTTTATTTGATCGAGCCTCACCCTCAATTCTTGTGTTCATCCTTCGGGATAGATACAGGATTTGAGGTAAAGCGCTCTTTCATCTAAACTATGAAAATTATGGGGTCAGTTTGACTTCATCTTTTTCAAAACTAAAATTTTTAAAACGTCCTTCCGAAGCGGGCAACGGGATTTCAATTCCGATGACCGACAGCTTCTTACGGGCAAACCCCACACCAAAAATAGTGCCGACAAGGTGTTTATAAGCATTCTTTCATCTATGTAAACACAAATATGGCAGATCCCTTCACAAGAGAAACAAATAAGGATAAGAAAATTCCGATAAATATGCATCAAATCGTATTTTTTATCAACCAGCAGTATTACTATGATAGCAAGGAGATTATGTTGAGTAGAAATTGGATGTAAACTGTTATAACAACAGAGTATTGTATGTTTTTTTCTCTCCATTATCATTTCAATTTTCTATAAATTAAATTGATTTTCTTCCTGATAGATGCTTATCAGCATCCTTTCATGTACGTAAAACACAAATATGGCGAAAATCCAAAAGGCTCCATCAATATAGTGAGACAGATGTATAAATCACCAACAAACCACATGTCATTAGATACAAGAAAAATGAAAATTTTGATGTTAAGAAAATCAACAAAATATGAATTAGACAGCTAAGGAAGTAGGTTTTGCTTGATATGTGCCATACCTTAACAAAAAGAAGAATTGACCCTTGAGTTCCAGTTATTGAAGCCACGTTATCATTGCTGACAGTTTCAAACACAAGAATTGGGCAGCCCATGTCCCAACCACCACAATCACAGCCTCCACCAAATCTCCATCTATCAAGTAATGATGAAGGCCCGACTTCCTCGCTGTTAGGGAGCCCATGTCTCCCAGTTGGTGCAACAACCTTCATATATACAGGACTAGGGCAATTGTCATCACTAACTCTTAGATCTGCTGCAGAACACTTGTACTTATCTCCCGCCTGGAAATTTTTCAAGGCATCTTTCTTACTAAAAGGAATCTGAATAACAATGGCAGCAATTTCAAGGTTTGGCTGTAACTCAGTTGTTGCCCATGGAAAAGCAGTTGAAAGTTCTGACTCAAAGTTAGAGGAATTACAGCTAACTGGAGATTGGAAATCTTCAGCCTTAATCAAGCTACTTGACTCTAAAGAACTCTCTGCGCACAAACTGTCTGCAACAGTAAAAACAGCAGTTTGATTGGAATTTGAAGGAAAATGGGATCTCTCAACCGCATTATTCTTTCTTGCGTGAGCTATGTCATACAAAATAAACTCTGTAATTGCAGAGTTATCGAAAGATCCAGCATTAGTGATCTCTGGGCACAAGTAACAAGAAACCTGCATCTGACCAATCATTAGAGATAGCTGATCATGGCTTTCTTTTGTTTTATTATTCTGACTATTACTTTTCTTTTTAAGGCAATGGAAAGTATACACCCAATTAAAAGCATTTTCAGTTTTCCATGTTTTTGCACGTAGGACATCTTCAGGATCTTTAACTGAAAATTCATAAAATGAGGCACCATGGTTACATTCCCATCTCAGAAGAGCATGCAAGTGAACCGGGGAATTAGCTGTCTTGATCACGTTGGCACTTCCATTTGGTACCTTGTCATTTTCAATCTTCTGAGTTGCCCTCGAGAAATCATTCAATAGGGACTTCGGGAAGAATTTATGTCTACTTAAGCTTGGAGCATCGAAGGCTGTGCTACTGCTGGTTTCTGGTTCCAGGAGTGAGGGGTTGCGCCAGGCATTAGATTTCAAAATGGGATCCAACATCTTCTTAAATGGGCTAAAACGAGTCTTTGGGCTGGATTTTAACATCTCTCTTGCTGAATAATAACGCCTGTCTGGAGTTCCTGCCTTTGCTGAAAAGGATTTAGGCAGAATGCTTATATACTCTCTTTCATAGATAATACTAGCATCAACTCCAGCACTACACAACTGAAGTGCACCTGATTTTGTTTCCTTTACCCGCAATTTCTGTACAAACTCTGGAGCTTCCTTTCCAGCAAGGCTACTAATCTCTTTACTCTGCAAGCGCTTCTCCAAAAGTTTATTGGCAGGACTGCTGCCTGCTGGATCTGCATTTGCATTTGAGCATGAAATGCTGATCTTTGAACGGTCCTCTAAAAAATCACGGAATGATAAGTCTAGAAACTCCATATTTTCTGTTGGAAATAACTTATTGTTACCAAGAGATAGAGAATCTGGATCTAAGGGTAAAGACACCAAAGCATTCTTAGTTGGTTCAGGAAAATAAACAAATTCTCTTGATGAACCCCGTGGTGGGGATTTGATAACTTTAAAGGACAGGAAAGCCTCATCACGACGGTCTTGCTTCACAGTCCGCCTATCTTTAACCACTTGCATTCTTCTGACTTCTTCTGAGCTTTGGTACGTAGAGCCCCGCTTTAGTACCTCACTATCTTTTACCACCATTCCAATTGACCTGGAAGGCAAGCTTTTCTGATCAGAATTAGCAGGATAATACATAGAAGATCCATTAGAATCGTTATCAGTTAAGCCATAGGAGCTCGAGTGTCTCCATTTTTTATCTCTTTCTTCTGCATATACAACCCTCTCTTCTGCCTTTTTTCTATTGTAGCGATCTGAAATTTCAATCTTAGATCTTGGTCCAGCCACGAAAGTGTTTTCACTCTCAGATAGAATATCCAGATCCATTGAGATATTTAGCTTAACAACAATAAAGAAATTAAATCAGGATCCAAACAGGGAACTGTCATCCAACTTCAATACATTAAAGCAACAAGCTGCTTCACTACAGCAATCATATCTGTTGAAACTTCTAAATCTCTGCCTACTTACAATAGTATATCATAAAACCTGATAAAAAAATGCATATAAATAAGCATTTGTATATGTAGCTGAGTAGCTTGAATTGCTTGAGTGCTTGATCACTAACTTCAACAAAACAATTTATCAAGAGGAAGTGGCATATCCACCGCCAACAGGAAGTCCAGGAGCTGTTAATTACATGTGCGTCAGCAGAGATGTCTAGCTTGAGCAAATCAAAATAAGAGTTGACGAACACATACAAATCTGCACACAAGATGATAAATAAAAGAAACAATTGCCATAATATGTTGTATTTAATCTTTCAGGATAGCAAGATAATGTATATAGGGAGAAGTCTACAATTGTACATCATAGTAAAATAGAGTAAAAATATTGCATCGGCTATAGCAGAGGTCATGGAATATGAATCTCATCAAAAAAGTTGAATGGCATATATAGAAACCTAGATTTTGTTTCATAATGCCTCATAATGCCGCTTACCATCCGGTGGCTCATAAGAAAGCAACTTGATAAAGTTAATGTGCAAAGGCGGACAAGCACAGTTAGATTTAGGAGTTCTCCATGAATTATCAAGAGGTTTGACAAGGAAGTCTACAAAAACTCACAGTGCACACTTCAAATACTCTCTATAGAACAGGGAGGGCATCAGACAAAATTCGAGAAAGATAAATTAAAATAGAGCTCAAAATGAACGAGTCCGATCTATATGAGCTCAGCACAAAAATGAAAAATGTTTCCAATCAAGCCAGAATGACTTGAAAAGTACCAATTATAGTCAACTCAAAATGTGGACAATTTGACTAGAACCATGTTTTAATCAAGAACCTCAAAACATGTACATCTATAGGAGGAGAATATGAGCCTCTAAATTATGCAAGTGAGATTAGAACTTAACCACTTAGTCACCTGGGGACAACTAATTGGACATAAAGATATGAATCTGAGTGTGTGTGTGTGAGTGTGTATTTGAATAAACTGGAATAACAGTTCCAGTGAGTCATATAAGGCTCGAGTTGACATATCATGATATCAACTCATAACTCGAATAAAAATTTAACAAGTTGATTTTGAATATTGACTCAGAATTCATGCAAATTGAAAGAAAATTATTTTGTTTCCCAAATAGTGATTTTCCATCTGGCTCCCATTTCCAACAGCTCTTCAATTAAATGGTTCATCATGTAGTGACTTGTAACTTTTCCTCCCATATAAGGTTACTTGATCCTTCCAGTAAAATTTGTGGTCCTTTTTATCGGATTTCTATGGCAACTCTTTGTTACTGTATACCTCTCTAAGTAATTTATGTATCAGCTTGAATGACTTGCTTCTTGAGGCTTTATTGATTAGATCTTGTGTTCCTACACTGCTTCCTATTAACTTCTAGAGTCTTCTCTTCATCAAGTAAAATAACTTTATTGATCGAGCCTTCAATGATTTTCTATTTGCATTTATCTAGGCTAACCCGGAGACTTAAGGAAAAACCAAGGTAAGAACAAGTGATGGTGGTGATGGGATTGTCCAAGCCATGCCCTACGTACATTGCTCAAAATATATTTTGGCAACATAACAATAAAACAATCACAATATGGACAATCTCACAGTTACTCGCATGCATCATAGGTTTTACATCCATCAAATTTGTAATTAAAGCTTCTAATTTGAAACACAACTAATCATAGCTTAAGGATGTACTCAACTTATCCATTCCTTTCTTAGCACTATAAGCCTTCAAGCATTATGTTGAATCTTCTAAATACAGTATCAACATCGGGTAAAACTGAACTCTAAATAGCCATATAGAAGGTTGGTGAAGAAGCAATTTTCATACTAGCAATGAACATCTAAATAATATGAGGACTTAGAGATTAATATAAAGAGTAATTTGACATTGCTTTCATAATTTAAGCTTAGAAAAATCAATAAGGAATCAAAATATAACATACTTCAGTGACGAGTATTGTATTTCTCATGCACAAACATATAAATTGGCATTTCATGATCATAACAAGAGGTGTATCATAGGAAGGTCATAATCATAAGCACTTGGCAAGGTGTTTTGCGTATAATCTAGCATAACATTTCATGTCATAATCATAGCAATTAGCATAACATGTGAAATCGCATTTATGGCTATAGCATAGCCATAGCATTAAAACTATATAAATAGCAATAGTATTGGGATCATATTCATAGTAATAGCACTGGAATCATACTTGTAGCAATAACACAATAATAACATTGAAAAACATTGACATCATAAGCATAAACTGTACAGAGAATATACCAATTGTCAACATATTGACATCAAAATCATGGATTGTGAAATAATCATAACATTGGCATAGCATTGGTATCACATATAGTCTATAGGATGCTCATAACATTTGAATATCAACATCATTGTTCATCGCATAGTGTGACCTGACTTTGACATCTCAAGATAAATAACTATGTATTCCATCTCAAAAGACTTAGTAACAACAGCCATTTATAAATCAACTTATTGCTAGCTGATATATCCCCCATCCACACAAGCATGGTGCAACTCATGCATATGATATTTGATACATCCAAGAGACTGACAAAAAGCAATTCAATTTTTCCAGTAGTTTGACCGGCAATATTTCAAAACCAAAACAAACTCTAAGAGTAGAAGGCCAAATGTATATCAAAATTTGTGCAGACGAATAACAATTATAATTGACAGACTTAGAATTGCTCAAATACTAAGCCATAACGTCAGCTTGTTTTTTTGGTTCCCTCAGATTAATAATCTCCCCAGTCAAGCATGCTTTGCAATGTTCTAATGGAAGAACTGCAGGGAACTGTTGACAAAACAAACAAAAGGATGAAAAAAGATCTGCAACTTAAGAGGCAATGATAATGTCAATGTTATACGGCAAAAAGGAAAACAGCAACACAACAATAGCACCAAGTTGCTATGATAAAGAATAGGAGCAAGTATGCCTCCCGTATCTGAGCACCATGCTCTTTTCACTCCACTCTTCATTTCCAAACCGCACCAGCTCCCCCAAAAATCCTGCCGCACTCCATCACCAACCTATTAAGAGCATGGTTGCTGCAAGGAATGCCCAGCTCCGCATCTGGACCCGCCCCATCTCCAACTTCTCTACCAGGGAACAAAGGAGATGAAAATTGACTTGTTCAAAACTTACAAAATAAAAAACAAAAAATCATAACCGACAAAACAACACTGTAAAAACCACAAAAAGACATCAATTAAGCAATTTTTTTAATAAAAAACACCGCATTAATTCCTGCAGAACCACCCTGCTCAAATAAGATCTCACTAATCCATCACCTGATTAATGCCATTAAATCTAGAACCAGGCCATAAAAGCTAAAACAAAAGAGAAAAATCTCACGCCCCTCCTCAAAACACCACTAAAAACCCTAGTTTCAGTTGTAAGGCTAGCCAAAAACACCCCGTACAGACCGATCGTCCTCAAAAATCAAACAACTCCACAACCAAAAGACACAAACGGATTACCTCCGAGCTCGAACGGCGAAGAAGCGAATTGTAATAGTTCGGAAGATGCTGTTTCACAGTAGCCAGTGGAGCTGCAGTTAAGCCACCGCCAGCATCATACTGCTCTGCATTGGAAGTCGCCACTCTCCAGTGTTCATGTCCTGTAAACAGATGCTAATTACTTTCTTTAATCAGATTCTCAAGCAATTTTATGTCGTCTTCTCCAATCGGTCCCTCCATTTTTATAATTATTTTACTTTTTTATGAAGCAACGTACCCCATCGCCGGAGCCGTTGGCGTTTGGTAGGAGAGATTACCATAATAACCTCACCAAAATGGCAATAAGAACGCTTTACTCGCGATTCAGCTGATTTCTTCGGTTTAAGGAGTGGCAGGCGGCATAAATTCGGCTTCTTAGCATATTGAGCAGTCGGACTTCAAGAGCAAAGGGAATTTTGTGATTGGTTTTCTTTGTTTATTAATATTTATTAAAAAGTTTAATATATTAACACCATAAATTGAAAAATTATTACGTCTGGAACGTCTGGAGTCCAAAAAATCATCTCCAGGTGGAGCTGACATGAAAAAAAACTCGTTTTCTTGTGATCCGGTCCGATAACCCAAGAGAATATTTCTCTCATATTATTTCGCATTATTCAGGTATTATTGTGATGATATTGATTTATTATTATGTTATTATAATACCGAGAATTTTCTCAGAAAACAATAATATATGAATACTACCACAATAACATTTGAATAACACGGAATAACACATGAAGAATATTCCCCTGTGCTAAAACAAAAAAAAATATTTTCTATCACCTCCAAGTGGCATAATTTCATTGAACTCTGCATATATCTCCATGCCCGGAGTCCGGACGTAGCCATAAATTGAAAAATTATTACGTCTGGAACGTCTGAAGTCCAAAAAAATCATCTCTAGCTGGAGCTGACAGGAAAAAAAACTCATTTTCTTGTGATCCAACCCGGTAACCCAGGGGCATATTTCTCTCATATCATTCTGCGTTATTCAGTTATTATTGTGATGATATTAATTTATTATTGTGTTATTATAATACCGAAAATATTTTCAGAACACGATAATATATGAATACTATCACAATAACACTTGAATAACACGGAATAGCACATGAAGAATATTCCCCTGTGTTAAAACAAAAAATATATATATTTTCTATCACCTCCAAGTGGTGTAATTTCATTGAACTCCGCATATATCTCCACGCCCGGAGTCCGGACGTAATATTTGTTCCCATAAAAGTTTTTGCAGAATACAATTTAAAATTACCATAACGCACATTTTATGAAAATTTTCGGCTATTTAAATTTGCTATTCAAACATATATATAGTGCATTTTTTCATGAAAAAGCGTATTTGACACAGTTCAAACATTAAGAAGATAGCAAACCATTGTCAAAAATCGAATTTTTTTATCATCCTATTCTAATTGAAGTGATATTACTATAAACAATATATGAAAATACTATTTATATACAAATTTTATATCTTTTAACATATTATACACAAATTAACCTTTTAAAATTCATTTAGCATAAACTCAAAAATTAACATATAAACTCTAAACCCTAAACCTGAACAAATCCATAGAAATTCTCCAGAAAGACAATTTCGCACCCTTCCCGTGCAATTTGGCCACCTAATTATCTAAAACCTAAAATTTAACTTTTTACATTTATAACACCCGAATCTTTCACATCAGCTATAAATGCCAATATTTAAATTTTAAAAAAGTTAAATACAACTTTTCCATAAATAAATAAGATTGCATATATGTAAATAAATTTAAATTTAGGTGTTTGCTATGTATTTTGATATGTAAATACATAGCAATTAAGTGATATGTATGTAAATCTTGCTAAATAAAATAAAATAAAATAAAGGGGCACACATACCACCCAATTCCTATGTATTTAAATATCTAAAACCTAATTTTTTTTACATTTTACATTCATACTATCCAAATCTTTCAGCAATTTCATGTGCAGCAAAGGTGGTATGTATGTATGTATGTATGTATGTATATATATATATATATATATATATATATATATATATAGAAATTAAAATTCCGGTGTCAGATATGTAAATACAAAATCATTGAGCGGCATTTATGTAATAAAATAAACGAAAATTAAAGCGATTCCTTGGAGGGTGCACCTTCTTTACCACGTTACTTGCTCTCTCCCCGGCTCTTGATTCCACCTTTTGTTTTCCCCTTTGACCAAAATCTGGGCCCCAGCTTTTACTTATGCTCGCTAGGAATCATGGCATGTTAATCGAACGGCCAATATTATCACATGTTTATACTTATAATCACTGGCTAATTTTTTTAACATTGTTCGGAGCAGCAATTAAAACCATTGCTAGTGGCTATACAACTCTTGCACTGCTCCCACTTTTTGACGGACTTCTCTTGCTTTAGCACTAAAGTGATATTAGAAGCTGACATATTGGGTGGGGAATAAGTGCACATTGGTAGTATTGAAGCGATACTGGAGTGGTATTTTTTTGACGGACTTCTCTTGCTTTAGCACTAAAGTGACATTAGATGCTGACATATTGGGTGGTGAATAAGTGCAGATTGGTAGTATTGAAGCGATACTGGAGTGGTATTGTAGTGAATATCACCCCAATACTATCTCAATACCGCCAGTATGTACATGTATATGATGCACATAATATTCGCTCCTGGCTGCGAGTAAGACAGCTCGGTAATCTTGGTAGAAATAGCAGTTCTGGGTTTTAGGTGATTGTGGCATGTGGTTGCTCAGGAGATGAGGCGGCCATTTGTGGAATGGACGGCGTGGTGGCCCTTCAGCTTTGCAGTAAGGCGCGCATGAACTGATCTCTCAATTTTAATGGCTTCTTGGATGGTATCGTTGAATTGCTTGCAGAGTTCATCCAGTGAAAGCATGGGGAATGGCTCCTCGATCAGAACTCCGACCTGGAATTAAGTTCGTGAAAACTAATTAGCAAGTTTTGAGAGTTTAGTTAACAAAAACAACAACATTTGCATCAACACGCTGGGTTAGAGAGCTCATCATGCAGGAATAATAATAATAATTGTATAGACTAGAGCTAATGACACGAATCTCGAAAAGAACGAACGACAAAAACAAAAAACTTCCTAAGGATAAAAAAATCAATCAACAAGTTACCGCCAAATGGGTGAAGCCGTATCTCTAAACCTGGGGTAGTTCAAAGCCCTGGAGATGGCACCTCACTCGGTTGCGATAAGATCCGCCAATGGTAAGGCGTAATTTATCCTAGCAGCAAATCTAATCGGATACTTCACATATAAAGCTACAATATCCGCCTAAGACCTTGCAAATATGGGTATCCAACTGAGGTGACGAATCAACCAAGTAGACGAGACGTAGGCGCGTAAGACTTGAGAAGTGAGTCACGGTTCACCCAACAAAAATAAATCAACTCATCAGTCGATCAACTGCCCGACCTAAGTGCGGTCAAAAATCCTTTGATCGCAATTGAACGGCAGACCTCCTTTTTGCTATGGATAACGAAATCGTCGTTCAACTGAACGCCTCGATCGACCGAACACAAGGAATGGTAGTCACCAAGTTGATTGTCTCAGTCGACCGCATTCTAACAAATCAATCAACCAAATAGCATTAACTATATTAAGAATGGTTTCACAATTGTTCTCTCCTTTCTGTAATTGTACAAAATACACATTTATAAATGGAAGGCAAAAATATAAAAAAAGGGGACTCCCCCAGTTCTCTCTACAGAGGCGCTTAATCTATTTTATTCTCTCTCTCCCTTGACTCTAACTCTCGAAGTGTGTTCACAAAAGACAATCCGGGATCCAACATTCTGAAATGACGAGAAGCGAAGCTAACTACGAATGAGAGACTTCCTAAAGAGAGAAAGCAAGCATGGAACTCAGCAGAGACGCTACACAACCAGACGTCCATGCGCAAGTCCAAGACTTACAAACCCAAATGACCCTTATGATACAGCAATTTGAGGTTTTTCGGACAGCAATCACCCAGAAGAACGACCAAGCACCTCATCTGGAAGCAGAACCGCAAGGGGTTCGTCCCCAAAGACCCCCACTAGGGAACCCGCCTAACTCGCACAACAAGGTCAGCACCAAGCAGACAGAGGAACAAAGAGAGTCCCAACACACCAACACATCCGTTCCCCAAAGACCCCCACTAGGGAACCCGCCTAACTCACACAACAAGGTCAGCACCAAGCAGACAGAGGGACAAAGAGAGTCCCAACACACCAACACACCCGCCTCTGTGCAAACGAATGGACGATGGGAAGAACGGATGTGAGTGCCTATCCAGTTGCTCGTAGGAGGGGCCTTTACTCACCAAATCAAAGAGACGATACCTCTGCCCAAACTAAGGATCCCTCACTTGGATTCTTACAAAGAGAGGGAAGACCCGATCGACCACATCGCATCGCTCGAATCATCCGTCGGCATGTTCTAGATTAACAACCCAATAATGTGTCATCTCTTCTTAACCTCCCTGAAAGAGTTGGTCCTCCTGTGGTTCAACAATCTATCGACCGAAACTATCTCAAGTAACTACGAGTTTAAGAGACCCTTCATTTTGCACTTCTCAAATGTGCAGACGCAGAGGAAAATGCTTGGACAGCCTGTTCGACATCAAGCAGGGAAAAAACGAGAGTCTACGGGCCTACATCACCAGCTTCCAAAACGAGATGCTGGAAGTCAAAAATCTAAAGCCAAAATATCTGGAACATGCTTGAAGCGAGGAGTTCAAAGCAAGCGATTCAGGTATGATCTAAATTTGTTTAAACCTACTACTTTTGTAGAAGTATTGGAAATGGCGAACGAGCACATTCTTGCCGAAGAAGAAATCCAAAGCTCTCTGAAGGGTAAGTCGGAATCATCCAACCACCCATCAAAGAAGCAGAAAAAAGGGGGTGAAGACAAAGAACAATTAGTCTGCTGGTCACCAAAACGGCATCTCTTGGTCCCGTGATCAGCAAAGGAACGACGGAGGCAAGCATGACCGAAAGCAGCGCTCCGATCAACGATCGACTCAATATTATGAGAAATCGCATGTTTATAGGGAAATGCAACGTTTGACACCGCTCAAGATGTCGATGGCCGAAATAGTCCAGACCATCCAAAATACTGACTACTTCAAACTGGCCTTGCCACTAACGGCACCACCGGCCTTACAAGATCCAAAAAGGTTAACCATTTATGCATCTGAAGCCTTCACATCACCCAACTAATCCTTTGTTTTGCAGTATACTGGGGGAACCAACATCAGGCTCCCTTTCAGCACCTCCTGGACGGGCTGCAGATCAGCCGATAAGGCCTTCACATATTACCCGTCACATCTATCTCGCAAGCGGGTAGGAATCTCCCAGTGGCTAGATGTAGAGCCGATTAAGAACTTCTTCCACCAGTCCTTAATCTTGTTTTCAACACCAAGCAAGCGAAGCTTTTGCCCAGGCGAAAACATGACAACCCTCTCTTTGTCGACTTTGAAGAAGTAATGGATGAAAATGTCGGTCGACCAGAAGATATTGAAGCAGTGGCAGAACATGACAAAAATCACGATGGATGCAATGGAGTTTAGCAGGGCTTGGGGCAGGATAACATCGTATTTGGTGAAGACACTTATGAGCTCTGACCATAAGGGTGGCAGAGACCGCACCTAATCAGGGCTAACAATTTTTGTCGGTTGCCCCTCGACCTGCGTAGTGTAATCGGAGAATCTAACTACCTTCCGAAGCGGGCGACGAGATTTCGATTCCGGCGGCCGACAGCTTCTTACGGGCGACCCCCAAACGCAACTTCCCCCTTTTAAGCGCCGACAGATGTAGAGCCGATTAAGAACTTCTTCCACCAGTCCTTAATCTTGTTTTCAACACCAAGCAAGCGAAGCTTTTGCCCAGGCGAAAACATGACAACCCTCTCTTTGTCGACTTTGAAGAAGTAATGGATGAAAATGTCGATCGACCAGGAGATACTGAAGCAGTGGCAGAACATGACAAAAATTACGATGGATGCAATGGAGTTTAGCAGGAATTGGGGCAGGATAACATCGTATTTGGTGAAGACACTTATGAGCTCTGACCATAAGGGTAGCAAAGACCGCAACTAAACTGATCCTGGTAGAACACCAAATCAGGGCTAACAATTTTTGTCGGTTGCCCCACGACCTGCGTAGTGTAATCGGAGAATCTAACTATCATAGAGGTCTTTCAACCCCTTATCCGTCAGGAAGGACGGATCGGTCGTCAGTACAGTGTCAAAAAAACCAGAGAATACTTGGGACCCATTACAGTCGAGTGAAATGATTGGAAGACAAAGAATGAGAAATTAAGTACAAAAATTGTGGGGCATTTGTGGGAGACCCCTAATTTTATTTTTATGAAGCGCACATGCAAACTGAAAAATCGTATAAAGATAAGTGTTGCATCAATTGTCATATCAAATTCCTCAAAATGTTATTTTATTATAAATATCATCATTACAGGTTCAGACAAAATTCTTAATAAATGGGTCTTTTGTGGCTTCAGATAAGGTA